CCTATTGCATTTTACAAACATTTAAATGCTGGGGTGGAAGAGGGATGTGTGTGTGTGCAAAAAGTCTGCTGAAATATCAAAATCTTAACTACCATCTTACTGCTTTTCCTTAGAGAAAATATGCTATCGTATTGCTTGTATGGGTGCCTGACTGCATGGCACATATTGATATTGTTTAAATAATTAAGATTCACAATAAATATGACACAACTAAGATACTGTCCATGCAAAAGATGAATAGTGACTTCTTTATGAGGAACAGAATCCGTTAGCAAATTCATTTAGTAGCATATGAAAGAAAGATCACACTAAAGAAAAACCCTTTGCAAGCATTTCACCATTTAACCAGGGATAATTGGTTTGGTGAGTTGAGTTAGACAAGGAAAAAAAGAGGTGAAGACCTGTAAGTTTGCCTGCACAGGCAGTAAGACCAACTTTCACAGTGTAATTTTTTCTGTTTTAATACTACTAATCAGCTTCTGCTGTATTTTTAAGATGCACATGCACTGTCTTGGATCATGCTCTTCTCTGCAAAAAATAACTCCAAAAACTATCAGCACAGTGCATGACATATTCAACAGTAATCATATTTCATTGGGCCATATGAGCAGATGCTATCACTGCAAGCAAAAAAAATCTGGAGTATCAGACTTTATGCTTCCCTCTTCCATCTCCCCATGAAAGATATACTTTATCAAGGTCCAATATAAATCTAATAGCTACAGCTATATAGTTATATCGCAATATATCATATTAATATTTCTAGAAGATAAAATACCTAGAGATTAAACGTATTAAAACATTGGTCTTGGTTTTATACATGCCATCAGCTATCAAGAATGTGCCCTTACTCCATTTGAAACAACAGCAGGCAGGGGAAGGAGAAACCAAAACCCTTTTATACCTTGAACCAGCAAGTAGCATGTATGTGCGGGTAGCGGCGGTGGAGGGGTCATAAAAGTTGCTGCAGTATTCATTAATTTTTAATTGCAAACTTTTAAAAAGGTCGGGTGGCGTTCCACCGGTTTTAGAATGTTATACAAGAGCTGAACAGTATTTGAATCAGTTAGTGTAAGTTTATTTTATGGTCTAGAAAATTTAGATTCAGTAGAAAAAAAGCTCTTAAGTCAAGGATGGATCTGACAAGAACCACCTAATTAGTGCTCTTACACATATTCCACTGACAATCCAGTTGATTTACTACAGAAAGAAGCAATTTTCAAGTGCTGCAAATTCTGTAAATTCAAAGGCATCAAGGAAAATTATAGAACCTATTTCACCTATTTATATACCTTTTCACCTTGGAGCTACAATAATAGGACGAACGCTTCATGTACCTGAGCAACGGATAAACGTTTTTAACACCTTCATGAGAGAGCAGGGAAGATCATAGTTTTTCCTACTAAGTCACATATTCCAGGAAAACATCTGACAAACGAAAGGAAGCACAGCAGCGTATTTGCTTTATGGATAAACATGCATTCAATTCATACACACCCCTTTGCGTTTTAGGCACGGAGTGGGAGTCCTTTTAGATGAAAATGCGTTATTCAGAGGTGGTGTCATGGCTTCCCCACGCAGAAGCCTTGTCTCACAATAGCATACGAGCACCTTGAGCATCCTGACGTCACTCATTTAAAAGGCATAACAGACACAGGACTTCTCTCTTTTGGCTGGTGCAATTAGCCCAACAGGATGCCAGGCCAGACTAGATGGTGCTTCTAGGTTCACTGTACTGTATGCATTTCTGATAAATGGGAAAAGAATAGATGACCTGGCAGAAGGCTCAGACAATAACATGTGATTTACAGGACATGAATGCAGCTACTATAAGATTTATCTGACAGCCCTCTCCGATAGTGGACTGTTGAGTATCCGATGGAATGATTTCTAGTCTGGAAAGTCTGCTACTGAGTAGCCATACACATTATTTATTTATTAGATGTTTTGGGTTGAAACCATTTTTAAATGATGCACTTCACAATGCTCAGCCATAAATTTAGTTTTAAACCCTAGAAGGGAGGTAGTGTTATTGGAATGTGTGTCAGACTGAATTAGGATGAGCAACACAACGCTTTTATAAAGTGGCCTTGAATGCAACGTCGATTCTTTCAAAAATGATATTAATGTCAAATAAGCAGGAACACTTTGCAGTAATATTAAATGAAGGATTTCTTTATGTTTTGATAGATTTATATAAATGTAAGTATACACAGAGACACGTCTCAAAATGTAGCGTGTCTATCAAAAAACAGAACTGTGCTTGTCTTAGAAAAAGCCTTTTGTCTGTATCTTAACCCACCCGTTTCTCTTTTTACCTTCTGTTAAATATAAAACAATATAACAACACATAAACACAAAACTAAAACACCAAAGGAGTTTTTCTATATGCCAAAATATAGGAAATTTAAAGAAGAGAAGAAATTAACCACACAAATAGTCAAAATAGTCTGTCACAAATAGTTTCACAGAATGGTATCTTCTGTATTTTTTTTTAAATCATTTCACCTGGAAAAGAGCTTTATCTTCACAATTTTATGAGAAAATTATTTGTGAGACATTATTATTCCATTTTGTACTTCTGAGAAAAAACATATTCCAGTCACAAATCTAAATAAACATCAGAAAAATTTCAGACGTTCTAGAAAAACAATCCAAGCACCTACATCACATATACAATGTTTTCAGAAAGAGGTTAGCATCGAAAACACCAAAGATATTAATCAGAGCAATCTTTCAATTTCATAAAATGATGGCTGACAAATTTGTGAAGTTTTAAATCAAATTTGCAGATACTTACTTTGTAACTATGCCACATTATTTATGTGATTAAAAACTAGTTTTTGACCTGATCTTTTGATCTTTGGCACTTCATCCACTCCATCTCCTCTTAAAAATTAATTAAAATTTTAGCAAAAGGATATCACTTCACTTCCCACACTATCTTGGGCCAAAAAAAAAAAAAAAGGGAAAAAAAAAATCAATCAAGCTCAACCCCATCTCCTCCCAGTATCTGTAAAATGTCGGCTCGAAATTCAATTTCATATCTCTCAAGCTTTCATGTAGCAAAAGACAGTTCACTTCTTAACAAAATAAATCACTTCTGTGATTGCCATGCTGACCTCTTTGAATTAGGAAAATTCAAAGTGAAAAATGTAATTATCACCCCAGAACAATCTGTATACATCTGGAGCTAATTTTAGATTCATTTCTCACATCATTTTTCATATTCTGCCAAAAATTACAGCTGCTATGTAACTTTAAAAAGACTTTGAGGTCTCTGTGACTTTATTGGTTTATTTCTACTATTTCACAAAGAGCAATCTCAGTCTCTGCAACTAGCACTGCTAAGCAATCACGATATCCTCAATTTGATTAGATTAGCATTAAGTGGCATTGTGACACATATGACAAATAGATGCATTAGAGCACGTCGTTTATTCTTTATCCTTTCCACTTCCCAAAACCAAACAAGTGACGTACAGTACAGACTACAACGTGATTTTAAAAAAAGATTAGATTACCCTGCTAAAAAAGAAGGAAAGGTCAACCACTAATTATTGATACAAGCAGCATGGGTACCGAAAACTAATTTTTAGAAGTGTAATACCAAGCTGTCAGGCACATATTTGATACTCATTAGTTTTACTCTAACATACTAACAAACAAACAGCAAAACTTGTACATGGATTTCTTGGTAGCAAGGATTCTTTTCTAACGTAAATCAGCATATTCTAGAAGTCAGGAACAACATCCAGTATTGCCGTAAGTAAAATAACCACCTCTAAATTCCAGAAGTTCCGTAACAGATATTAAATTCCTTTCAGGGTGAAAATATATTTTCTCAGGAAGATGGATAACTAGATGAGCAAAGCTCTAGAAACGTTTATTAATAATAAGCTCACTAGAAAACATAACTACTCTTCACTAGTTCATTGTAAAATCTATTAGGTGTAATCTCCAGAAGTAATTGTTCTTATTGCGTTTTATTGACAATGCAGACTATTGATTTTTCACACCTTCTATGATTCTTTCATTTGTATTCATGAAATGTCTATCAGCACACTCTAAATAAATTTGGCAATATAGGCACTAAAACGAATAAATCGATGTGAAGAAACATTAATTTTGCATTATCCTTATTCGTCAGGCAAGCAAACCATAAGGGTTGTAAATGAAGGTCAAAGGTTTTGAAATGGGTCAGAACCCTTGACCTCTAGACCAATACCATTCCCATTAAAAAAGGCTATTTTAAAGTTTTAAGTAGGGGAATTTACTACCTGAAAGGTATCATTTTTAAGGCACCAAAAGAAAGACGCAATAAAAACAGGCTTCCATGTAATTACAATAAAACGAAGTGAAAAAACCCAAAAAGAAAAATCCAATTAATATAGTATGTACAATTTTGAGAAAGTTCCTTAGGCTCTGGCTCTTTTCTAACCAAAGGAACAGGCATTTCTCAGATTCTTAAGTATCTAAAATCACTTTGCCTTTAGGAATGTAGAATGACCTAAACTGCTGACACGGAGGGTTGCTTTCTGAAATTTTTCTCAAATTCTTAGTACTTGTCAAATGAATTAAGAATGACAGGGTTTCAAAAGTATTTATCACTCATTTCATAACCTCTACACAAAAGGAAAAAGTCTGTTTATCCCAGAGGATTCAGCATGCCAAGATGCAGAAATCAATCTGTTTCTATAACTTTAATATTTTATTGATTCTATTTTCTCTTACAAAAATGACGGCATAGGATTACTTAAGCACACCACCATCAAGGTTATGTAAATGTTCAATAGTAAAAAAACCCTTAGCATCTTCTTTCTCTAACTGAATAGACACAATCATGTGAATTACTGGGGGCTTTTTTAATCAAAAGGCCTTGCACATAATCTTTTTACCTATTACACATAACCTTAAAGTCAAATTTAAAGTCAAATTTTAACTGTAATTTCCATTGTGCTCAAAGACAGCAATTTCAGACATTGTTACTTAAACCTTACCTGAGAGCAAAGAAGCATCACCAACTCCACAACTGAACTGCTAGATTTCATGCACACAAGACCTACAAAAGGAAAAACGGTATACGTGAACGCACGCCTATATGGCACCAGTTGTTAACACAAACTATTTCAAAGTGCAATAGATTAGAAGCATTTGGACAAACAAAAGAAGACTGAAATTCTCATAACACTTCCAGCTCAATTTTGTAGTTCATCAGCACAAAGTAAAAGTATGTATCTGAGAGGGAGATCATAAATTCCATGCCTCACATCTAAAGATGCAGCTAACAGTAATGCATTACCTCTATTATTCACAGTTTCATAAACATTTGTATGTCAAAGTGATCAGAAGTGTGGTTAACATATGTTATATTAATCCACTGTATCTACATTTTGCTATTTCTTGAAGGATTGGGTCATTATATATGCAGAGAAGGGAAATGGCTTTATGACCTTTGCTTTCTCCATTGCGCGTTCTCCTTTCAGCCCCCAGCTATCAATCAAGTTTCCATTTTGTTTCATGGCAGCAGACATCCCAAACACTCTTATTAGTACTTTGACCCTTAACCCCACACTAAACCTTAGCAGAAGTGCAAGCAGCAACCTATTATATATTCTCAATTGTTTATAAACTGATTTGACTATTATTATTTGTATTCGCATCTTGGTTTGGGTTCATCAATAACTGGGTTTTAGCCCCAAAAATTGGTTTTACGTGTTTATTTCTGTATAGACAAGTCATACACTCCCAATAATTTTCCTGCTTTTTTTTGGTCATCCCATCTATCAAATACTCATCTCTCTGTGTATATACTCTATACTACAGTCAAAATACTCTGAAACCAGAGTATCTTTTCTTGATCTTCAAAGAAGAAAAAATGTAACTAAATAGGATATTTACTTCCCTGGCAAATAAAGCTTTGAAAAAATATTTCCTGTTATTCTTATTAAATGAATGAAAGAAATTAGTTCACAAGGCAGCTTTCATTAAAATATTTATCAGCTAAAGTGATGCCCACATGTCTAATCAAAAGTAGAATCCCATCTTTTTCAGTCTTACAGAAGACAATGCATACAATTCTTCCTGCCCCTTCTTCCTACACCAAAAGGTAGGCAAGCTCAATGCCTAAATAACTTTAATTTCAGTGAAGTTTAATGAAGTCTTAATTTTGATATCAGCAGTCTTTAGTAAAACACTTATCAGTGGTGCTCTAACTGTGTTTCTAACAATGTTAACTGTATTCAGCATTATATACAGGATGTCTTAATTCACGAAACAAGCAGTTTTAAAAATGTTTTTTTTAAAAAAGAACTTTAATTCCACAGGAAGCAACTAGATCTATTACTGCAAATACAGCCCATGTGCAAGCAATCAGCTCAAGTTAAGCAACCATAAGCTTCTAACATGGGAGCGCTTCATTACTGGAAGCTGCAACAAGCTCAGGCCCTAATTCAACTCCCTGCTTTAACAGGACAACACCTGCAATTTTCACCCTAAAAATCAGTGGACAAAGCAATTTATATGATATAACCAAATTATGAGAAAACTAAAAAAAATGGTGTTCATTACTAAATTCACAGTGTTCCAATAAACATGATTTTTCAAATTGAGAACATTGTCTGCATTGCAGACCTGAGGCATGTTTTTAAACAGAGAGAAACCCACTAGTAGAAAGAAAACTCAATCATCTCCAGCTCAATCATTTCAAGCCAACATCAGGAAGCGCCATGATCGTTGTTGTGCACCTGAATCTTCATCTCTCACAAGTACCAGAGAATTCTTCTCAATACCAACCACGTATTCCTCTTGCCTGTATGACTGCCTTCCAACTAGAAACCGAAGAGGCAGAAGCAGATCCATATGCAAGAGACCACCATAAGGTGCTCTGCTGACACAGCTCCCAAGAAGCATTCTGTTACAGTATCACAGTAATGTCTTTGTAGTGAACTTTCTACACTATACTCTATACTTTACTTTGTATTGAAGTGTTGACCCTGACACCAAATTTTGTTTTTAAGGCTCACAAAACACATTTCATACACCAGCTTCTATGGGACAATTCCCTGGAAGAGTTGGAAAACCAAGGAAGACACAGAAGCAGTTGGTCCCACATAACGAGATACAGGAAACTATGAGATGAGATGAGATGCAGGCAAAGAGGTAGCAGAGCCGACAAAGATGAGGAGGCAGTGACAACAACTTCAGAGGACTAAAGACAGAAGGACCAGGAGGCAGTGAAATCCAGTGGACAGCATTGTGTGGGAAGGTGGAAAGCAGGTAAGGCAGAGCCAGCAGAAGAAAAATACAGAAGTTTTGAGTCTCCAAGGTAAAACAAGGCACACACACAAAAAAACCCTTTTTTTAAATGGAAACTTACTTGTACCTTCTATCAGCAACTCCTGCCCATGGCTGCCCAAAAGAGTTCGAGAAAGAAAGGGAGCAAAATCCACAAAAATCTCTCTCAGGAGTGGGGCAGCTTTTTCCAAAGCATGTTCAAGCCTGTCTGTAATACTAGTAGAGAGATACATGTGATTAACAAAAAAAAAAAAAGAAGGAAGTTTCTGAAAGTTTGTAGGAAGGAGTATAGTTTTTGGCAATGTTTAAGTGATATACACATATAAAAATGAATCAATAATCCGACACTCATTTTCCCAAACCTTCATTAGGCATCGAATGTCAGCAAAACAACATTCTGAAGTGATGTGGAATAACATCAACTGTAATATCAAAAATGTGAGCCACAGCACAGCTGTTCAGTTGTCCAATTGAAGAAGTTACCTCATATTTGAAGCAGAATCCTCAGGCACTGAAGAAACCGTAGGGACAGACGGCAGTTTTGAGTTAGATGATCCCCTTCCTACAGGAGAAAATAACAACTGAATGAATTATGTAAGAAAACATGCCACAAGTTAGACAACTGGACCAGAAACTAAAGCCTTGAGGCTTAACCTCTGAGAAAACACGATTTTCAAGTGTGTGTGAGGACCAGGTAAACCCTTTCACCTCTTTGCACCTCAAGCTTTTTTTGGCCTGAGACTCCTATTTACTTCCATTCACATGGAAGCCCTGCAGTTTGCTTTGTGAAGGAAGTGAGCCCAGGCTGCAGTGATCCCTTCTGGCCTTTAAGCCATGATTCTCTCTGAACTAATTTAAGAACACTTAGCACCCTTTGGCAGTGAATACAAATAATGTCTTACACCCTTAATACTCCTGCAGTGTACTAATATACACTAATATATAGTAATAATAAGCCAAATGGTAAAGTTGTAAAACATCTCTTTTGGTTACTGCAAGTACTCATCCAATTTCGAGTAACTTGCACAGAAACCTCTTCATTTATTGTCTAAGATCAAAACATATTTCTGTCAAAATGAAGCAGAATACAAAATGAGTGGGTATTTTCAACAGCCTGACTTAAATTTTTGCGCCACTGGAACTCTGACAAAGACAGCTATGATAAAATTCTCCATTGCGCTGCCAGCATCATTAGCATGATGGCAGTGGTATAACCTCATTTATGAGTTATTAACTTTGCCACATCAATTATTCAAAGGTTGGTAGGGAAGACTGGGTCATATCCTACGTTTACAAAAAAAAAAAGCAATTGTGTTATGTCAAATTGACACTACATGGCTCTCATCAGCGGAGTGGGAATCTGTAAATACTAAATTCTGCTGTTCAGTATATAAAGAGAAATACAACCTCCATACTGCAGTATGGATTGGTGTTAGCAATGATGAAGAGGGGGTAAGCAAGACAGCCAGAGATTTCACAGATATTTGCTGCCAGGATAGGAATGGTGACTCACAAATCTTGCATTGCATTCCAAACCATAGCGAGGAATGAATCTTAGCAGACAGATTTCTGTGCATTTCCCAAGAGCATGACTGCTTCTAGTCCATCTGCAATCCTATCTCTTTCCAACCTTAGACCCTGTCCTATTCTCTTTCCTCTCACCTCGCCAGTTTCAGATTCTTATGCTGCTGGAAAGGGAGGAAGAAAAGGAGAAAAAAAAAAAGCATGAAAGAAAAGAGTTTGATCATTTCAGTTCTCACATCTGCCTTAGCAGAGACACAACCCTTCTCAGAACTGTAACTATAGAAAAATTCCTGATCATCCCACCTACACTGGAGTGAGCTCAGTTAAACGTAACCTACCTGGAAATCAACTGCTAAGATCTTCAAAGTGTCTACCAAAATGCGTCAGCTGCAACTTTTCAAAGTCTTCCTACTTGACTGAAGAGGAATGGATTTGTAAAAAGATGGCAAAGACAGATCCCTGAGATACTAAGTTTATTTCTCCTGTCAAATTTCAAACTTCTGCTCCAAAACACTGGCACACAGAGCTTTCCTCCAGAAACATTGAGCTTTTGTGAATATTTTTTTTTTTTCCTATCTTGGGAAGATGTTTTTCCTTAATCTCGCTTCAAAGGCAGCACAGACTAATGCATCAAAACAGTGGAAAAGTTTTGCTCTCATTTCTTTTTTTTTTTTTCAAAGGTAGGAGATATCTTTGTGAACATGATTCACTTATGCTTTTCATAAATTCAACATGAAGCTCTTATTTTGACTTCTGTATGGGATGACAGAGTCAGAAAAAAAATGTTAAGTAGGCCATACAAAATGAAGGCCAAGAAAGTGGGGAACAAACATTAGCTGAAAGTGAGATGGAATCCAAATAATCTAGGCATTGTTTCCTAAAAATTTATCTAACAAAGGCAAATCGAAGATACATTTCTGAAAATTTCAATGGCGATGGCTAGACTCTGTAAATATTTTCAATTTTTTCATTGATATAATTCCATTTCTTTAAGATTTAGTTTTACATAGTCAAACACCAAAAAATATTTTGGATATTCCCAAAGGAAAGCAGTCAAATGGTGTGCTGAAAAGTACAGAGCCTCCTGTGCAGAAAAAAACAAAATAAAGCCCATGTGATTCAGTAGTTCCACAGATTCCAGTTGTTTGTGGGATGCTTAATAGCTACAGTCACTTTCTTTTCCCCCCTCTACACACACATTCACTGCCTCTTGGATTAAGACTTTAAAGCAATTACTTCGTTTTCACGATAACCTTTATGTTTAAATAATTTCACTAGAATTCCCAGCTTTCTTCCTAAAGCCCAACATCCCTATTCTCATTAAACAAGTCCCTTTAATTTGAAAACATTCTTAAGTCCACATGTCTAGCAGTGGGCTTAAAGCCATACACTGCCCATGAGGGAAAGCGGCACACTGCTCTAAAGCCTTGAAAATAAGAAACTCCTCTCAACACGCAGATTGTCTGTGCAGAACATCTTGTTATATAAATGCTTGCATGCTTTATACTACATATAAAATCTGTGATCAGTAATCCACTAACTATTGGGCATGTTAGAAAGTCAAAAGCCTATACAACTAAATTCCACCGTATCATATGCATAGCAAATATCAAGGATCGCTTTACCAGTAAAAAAGACTCACAGTGCAGCACAGTAGCATGAGTTTTACAATTAAATGAGATTAAAATAAATCAATGCAATATTTAAGCCACAAGCAAAATAACCGAAGGAAAAATTAGAAAGAAAAAAAAAAATCAAGGGAAACATCTGCAAGGACAATGGAAGGGCATAATAGCCATCATGAGGCTAATAGAGAGACATCAACTAAATCCTAGGGTAACTTGAGGGTTTTGTTTGATTTTGTGAGATGGGTTGGGTTTTTTGTTTGGTTTTCCGTTTTTACACACCATGGCACTGGTAAAAATGGTTAGAGTGGGAGGTAACGGAAATCACTAACACCACAGATATGACATGATTGTTTTCTCTTCTAGAAATCAAAACAAATTGTGCATAACAGATTAGGTTTAAATGTAAAACCCTATGAAGTTTCAAGTTAAAATCAACTTTTAAATATAGACATAACAGAAAAACCACTGACAATTTAAATTTGACAACAGCGTAAAGGCAGGCACCTGTACAAACTTATATTCTTTTTGAAGATTATGTAAGGATATTTATGGCCTGAATTTCTTCATGCTTATCATCACTGAAATCCACATTCCAAACTCAGATGTATTTCACTAAAAGGGGTGAATCTCAGATTTATCACAGCTGAGAATTTCAGGGTTTTTTAGATAGGATTAGGCATAGTGATTTTTTATTTCAAATTTTGTTTCGTGGAAGTACTTTTTTTTACTTTATTTAACTCAGAAGTGGCTTTTTTTTCCTACTATATTTTCTGCCTTCAGTAAAAAAAAATGAATATACTTCAGTAGCATATTTTCATCCACAACACACATGTGGGTAAGTGCAGTAGCTACTTCAAACATGTGGAACTAAACTGACTTATCTCTTCCTTATCCTTTCACTGATAAACTGGCTCCTTCAAACTGACAGTTTTACAGACATTTGCAAGAACATAAAAGAAAATGCAAATAGATCATCTGTCTAGCACCCTTACAGTGAAACCTTATTGTTTATTCAAGGTCCCCAAGGGTCTAAACAAATAACGTCTCTAGCAATAAAATATTGTTAAAGAAGCTCCTTGTGTAAGATCCTTATGTTTTGGCATACACAAAGTATGCTTGGCCATACGCAAGCAGTGCAAGACATACTTTGGGAGGATGGAGATGAGGTTAAAAAAACAGAGAGCTGAATTAAATAACCATACCTCTTAATTTTGTACAACAGATCTACCACACATAAATACACCAATGCCCTTTACAAAAGGAGTATCTGGAAAAATACTGAGTTCATTCAGAAAATGCACTTCCGGGGCTGGAAGCGGACAACACAAGACTACAACGAAAGGTTTTACAAGCTAATATAAGGGATCTGTTACATAAACACATCTGTAGGTTAAACCGAAACAGATTTCACAAAACAATGGTGCAGTCTCTAAAGAGAAGCTGCCTTAAACCAGTTTTTATATTGAAACGGTATTAAAGCATTTCCATCGCATACCATTAGCATCTGAGGTTTTAAAAGTGCCATTCTGCTTTGGTAACTAGCCTTCAGCTACTGTCACTGAAGTTGGAACTCTCTTGGAACTCTCGAAATAGTTACTACAAGCCAGTGAATTTCTTGAACTACCTCTGCACTGATGGTAACTCACTTCATATTCACCTTTCGTAATAACGTCAAGGTTATTTTCACCTGTGTATAAAAATCAATGAATACCATTCTGCCCAAACAAGCCAGTTGTGGGAGAAAATTTACATTTTCCTATACGTAAGACTAGAATCCAGGAGTCACAACTCCCTTTTTATCTCCTGTTAATGCTTACTGCCAGGTTTCTCCCAAGCATCCACCTCCTTTTTCACCTCAGCCTTTGACATGGCCTTGTTTCTGACTTCACACTTCGGGGAACAGCCCATGTCTCTGTTTAGGAGAAGCAGAAATCCTGCTGGCAACTCTGCGTGGCTCAGAGGCAAAACAAGTGAAAATCAAAGAACTTCAAGTAAGAGGGGGAGGAGGCAGGCAACAGAAATTGAGTGGAACTTCCCAGTGTTTTCTACACTCTGAGTGTCAGTAAGGACAAGTGCAATTCACTCCTGCTTCCTACAGTCTTCTTCCTCTTTATAAAAATCATATTTGAACAACCATTTTCAAACTGAAAGCCTCGAAATTGCATTCTTTAGAGTGAAGCGCTAATAAAGCACATGTGAAATCCTTCAAGTGCATAAACAGAGAAACTCAGAGCATCAGAGAAAACAGTGGGAGTGCAAACTGCAAAAACAGTTCAAAAAAGTTCACACCACTTCAGTTACAACTGTAATTGAAACATTTAAAAAGAAAACTAAGCGACAAACAAAAATACAAGCATCCCACCAGCATATTCCCAACAGCTCAGACAACTCCGCCAATTCCTGCCTATCCTAGCATTAGCCCTGCTATCCAATAGCCCTTCCTGGGCACTGCAGGCGTAAAATCTCTGCATCAAATGTCACATTCAGCCTATGAAACGATCCAAGCAAGAAACAACTCCAGTAAATCCCTCCTCCTTAGATTATTAAGAGTAAATATGTTCTTTTGTTCAATACCACCCTCCCTAAGAGACAACGATCGTCTCAACATGGGTCACCAAGGAGCTTTATTTTCTCCATGCATTTCCAACATCTTTCGGCAATTCCAGCATCCCAACACCATCAGCAACATACTGATGGGCAAGTTTAGACCACAAAGGGCACACTGGTACTCAGGAAACACTCTGTGGCTTGAGTGAGTGAAGGTGAAGAAACTGCTTCTGCAAAAAGGCCAGGCTATCTGAGGCCAAAACATGTTTTCACCCTCTTTCCAAGTATCAGAGGAACAGAGTGAGCTTAGATGGTTATCTTTCCAACTTGTCAACACTTTGTATTTGGTAGGCCAGGACATGTCACATCCACTTGATATGAGCTTAGGACAATCTTAAGGGTCAAATAACTGAGATACTCACAGACCTTGAGCTACAGGCAAGATGCAAACTTCAGGAAAAAATATTGGGAAAGAGGTTGATGAATTCCGAGCACACACAAATGGCAACAGAGACATCTGGAACCACACAGACTGACTAATATTTCAACCCAGATGCTACCTTGACCAGGCAATTTTGACATCTCATCTACAGGTGGAAGACGCTCACATACTATATAAAACTTATTCCCAAATTATGCCTATGTACACGTTACAGCTAAAACACTATCACTTGCTGTTTAATCTCATTTTGACGTCTGTATCTCCCTTTCCTCTCTGTTTTGGAGTAAATCATCTGAAGTCTCCACAGTAAAGCATTATATGTTATTACACTAAGGTTCTGTTTGCTTAATCAGTTTTAAAACATATCAAATAAACACATACAAAACTCACTCTAGCAAACTCTTGGACTTAAAAAAAACCAGCTGAAATGTATTTTTAAATGTAGTAATAATGTTTAATACATAGCCTTCATATTAAATGTGAAAAAAAACCCCTAAATTTATATCCAATACATAAACCCCTAGTCTCAGCACTTTTTAAAAAAATATTTCATTCAATTTTTTTTTCTTAATTACAAAAGTAAACAAAGTAAAACTACAAAAAAGTAAACTTACAATGAATACTAGCTGGAAAAAAAGGAGAACAATGTATTGATTCTCTGCTGCATGAAAACAAAAATTAGTGAAAGAATATGTGATTTGAACCCAGGAGAAAATTTTATATATTACATTTTGGATTTATAGGAAGCTTGTTATTGCTATTCATATCCTCAAATAAATAAAAAAGTTAAAGGTCTTATACAGAGCTTTATTTCAAACTTAAATCTGTGCTATTTACATGAGCAACATGAGTGTAAACCTCTCCAACTACGCAAAATTTTTGTTTCCATGCCATTATTTTACTAGGGAAAAAAGAAACAAACTCTCACATCTAAATCTGTTTAAGGAATGCTTTCATTTATCCCTTTACTTTTTCTTTTAATTAATTAGATTGCCAGTCTAAAATATGTCTACTATTTTTAATCCTGATTAGTTTCTTTTTATGCATATCAGTTCAGATTACACGTCCAATTTTTACCAAAACTCCCAGACATGCTGGAAGTCACAAAGTTACAAACCACATCAGTATTGTTTATTGTCTGGATTTCTTATACATTCTACAGGCACAGGAGCAGTTCTTTTTTCTTCTATACATTCTTCAAAGATTGACTAAATGGGAAAATCAATGTTCATCTATTTCATTTCTATTAAAAGTAAGTGAATACTGACTTCAGAAATTGCAATAATTAAGCCTATATCTAACCTGGGTAAATGAGTAAGAAATTAAAAAATTAGCAATTATTTAAAATAATTTCTAGGTAGGTAAGGTTTTACTATTTTAAAAACAGATTAGCTGCTCAGAGCCAATCTTCTCCAAAGAACTCCGACGTTTTAAAAGACAGCTAACTTTCCTAGTCCAAATATTGCTCCTAGACTAGTATAGGTATATTGCTACCTCCTGCCATTTCAGTGACAAAATGGATTCTCCCTTTTGCAAAGAATAAGAACATACTAGATTTCAATAGCTTTTCTCTTCCTTTATCGTGGCTGGAACAAAACTTTTTTGATTTTCCCAAGAAATGCAATGCGTAGTTGAAGATGGCAACAATATCTTCCAGACACACGAGTACTACAGGACATGACAACAGATAACATTTTTTCCCCCCTCAGCCTTTGCAATTTGAATGTAAGTTCATAAAAGCAGGAAGCAAGAAACTCAAACACTGAAAAGAAACACCAATAATCAGGCATAGATTGAGATTTCCTTGATTAAGATGCAAAGCAGTTCTAAGTCTTGACGTTAAACTTCATAGGCACAAACAATTATGAGATCCTACACAGCCTTGTGACTTAAACATGGCTAAGTAGAAAAGCATGCCTTTGACACAGCATATAAGGTTAAACATCATTTACCTCATACAGAAGGACCAGAGAGACTAAGGGTTCAAAGGACCACTTGCTTATAAACAATCTACTCAATTTTGTCCCCACTGAAAAAACTGTTCAAAGCAATTAGTTCAGCGTCAACACTGAATTTGACCTCAGGCTAAAGCTATTGAAAACACTTGTATATAATTTTGAGTCCTATGTAGCACTAACACATATATCCTTGGACAAATACCCTATAATTTATAAATAAACTTGTATTTCACATAACAAAAAACCTGTAACAAAAGGTAGTCATTAGAATATACCGTACTTATGCTAAACACAAGCTCTATATTGTATGCTTGCTTTACAAAAACTGAGAAATCTTGAAATTATAACCAGTATTGCTCAGACATTTGCATTTGTTCTGTTAGATGAAGGCAAAAGAAAAATCCAAAAACAGTTTATCAAAGCTTTTTTAATACTACTTTTGTATTATTTTCTTAAATTTGTAAACAGGTTATTTTTTACATTTGTGTAGCTACAGCATCAAAACTAGGAATATCAAATTATATGGAGGATAAACTCTTGGAAAATATCAAAAAGGAAGAATTCTCGTATTCATGAACCCATATAATGTCAGTGACAACTGGTTCAGTTTAACCTAGAGTCATGTCTATTTTCCTGTAAAGTATTTGGAACTGGTCTTTGTTCGAGGCACAGATACCGAACGCAGGCCTGCAAGCTGCTATGTGAGGGCATGAGACAAAGATACAGACAAAGTAGCACACAGGATGTAAAGGTCTCAAAGGTCCTTTTGTCTGACTTAATAATTTAGGACATGTTACACCAGATACACGTCAGGAGTTAAAAAAAGAAGTGTAAAACACCATCTTCCCAGATTATTGGCACGTTTTACCCTAAGAACACACAACCAGCGATAAGTATCAATATTCTTAGTACAGGCAAGACTCATACATAGATAGACTAGATATACACACACTAATCAGTATTACAATGGGAGGCAACTAACGACTTCAGGGCTGAAACCAAATTTGCCTTATCTACAGTGCTTGAGATGTAGATGACAACTGAAAAACATCTCACCTTCACATAACAAAAAACATGCAACAAACTTGTTCATTTGTATTCAGAGTGACTGGTGAAGGAGGGATAAGCAAGAGAGGAAGGGTTGAGATTTAAGTTAATTTACCCTTACTCACCAGGAGATTCTCCTGACAAATCGAGGGCTTGGGTTGAATCTAAAGAAGAAACCACACTGACAGCATTTGTAGGAATACCCACAGCAGCTGCAGAAGAGGAAGCAGTTGATTTCTTTGAGGGTACGACGACACTCCTAGGTGAAGACAAAAAATTAGTAAATAATATTGTATGAAGGTTTGCACATCATGATCCTTGTTCACACATCTAGCACGTACACTTTTATGTCCTGCAAAAGTACCAATCCTTCCCTATTTTCTTTTTCCATGATCTTTGGCAATCTACATTAACCAAAAGGACATTTCACCCTTGTTTAGTTTTTATGGTACATTTTTGTATGGTACCACTTCTGCAAAATCCCTGACAAACAAGCACGCAGACAGAAGATCAGCAGGATAAGTGATCTCCGAGAGGGTTTTACTTTTCACATTAGTTTCACAGAATCACAGTTTCCCTAAGATTTGGTTTTAAACTTAAGGCAACAATTTACAAAATATATGACAGTATTCAAAATGAAAATATTAAGATAAATTATCAACACTGAAGGTTGCCTTGACAGTATACTACTTTTGATATTCTAAAGCAGAAGAGGACTAATTGAAGAAGGATGTACTATAGCTAAAAACATCCTAACACATATCCGCACACACATACAAACATTCACACATCTTAAAAACACAGCCAGGGCAGGATATAGAAAATATCTTGTCAACCAAGTTTCACTGACACAACAAATCAAAATATTATTTGAAGAGGGAATTCTCCATCTTTTACGCAAGTTAAATGTCAGGCCTTATAGTCAGCATTAAAAATTACACGAGAGGAAGAGATGCAAAGTGACAAGTTGGGCATGGAGATTTATCTCACACGATATCAAGACACCTACTTATGCTACACCAATTTCAATTACATTGTAGTACTTTATTCCAAACACCTAAAAGGCCTTGTTAAGCATACGTTAAAGGCATTTTTAATTGCAACTTAGCTCCATAAACATGCAAAAACCCAGCTAATGAGGTAAAGAGTACAGCTGATATATAATGCACTCCCACAGCAGCGCTTACTTTTAATTACCTGGTGTTAACTGTAAACCGAAAGTCTTCAACATTCAATTTATTTAATCACATCTTTTGTTGACAGTACTATAACTACACACCGAAAGTATTCCCTTAATAGCTTTAAAATATTCATTTTCTAAATAAAGTAACTTAGAAACTTGACCCAAATTTAGGCGTGATAAAAACAACCAAAGAAGTTCTGTCCAGTATATCTAAAATAGTTCTTCCTAGAATGGGAGAAAAGGACTGTATTTGACTCCCTCCTTCAGGCCGAAGGATGTCACAGAAGCTGGACCACGATACTGATTAAATCAGCTCTCCATAATGGCAGGAGTAGGCAGGCACCATACTCGGAGGCAGTACATGTCATATCATTATAAGGGTGACTGCTAATGTTAACTATACACTAAAAAAATAGAAGCAACAACACCTGAGCCCCAAGTCAAGATATTGTGCCTAAACCATGAATTTTGCTCATATGTTCATGTTGGTTTCCCTGAAACATGAACAATGCACTAAAAAAATTCAATATTTAGACTGTCTTCTAAATTATAGCCATATGACCAACTAATTTTGCGTCACTCAGGTATAAGAAGGGGATCTCTCACTCAAGATTCTGTGACATTTACTGTCTGGAAACTGTTACTACTATTCTATAACACAAATTCAAATACCTGGAAGGGGCTGAGAAATTAATACAAGTTTACTGAGTATTAATACAAGTTCATGATGCACCATACACAGCAAACTTTTGGACATTTCTCCGACATTCACGATTCAGCACTGAAGCCCAGGTGCGTTCCTTTACCGATTTTAAGTTCTTTTACTGTATAGCTAGCCAAGTCAAGAAAAACTGATCAGTAATATTAAACTCAAGTTGTACAGACGTATTACAAACACATATCTATTCATACAGACTCTATGTGATCTCAGTGCACGGGCTGGAAATATTTACTTGCACACCCAGTAAGTTACAGAAACAATTATCCATTTGCTGCAAACTAATACACACAATTATACTGGCTACAAGGTGATGTAAGAGAATGCTTAGTGACAAGTTTTGGCACACACATAGACAGCAATTGTGCAGGTATACGTAGCGTCTGTTCAAAACATACCATTCATGTAATTAATTTTAAATGGGAAAATAACAAATTACCTTGAGGGTAAAAACAAATCTTCTAGTTTTCTGTTGCCAGGGCTTAAAGTCCATCAGAATTCTCTCAAAACATCTTATCAGAATAGCTGTGTCCTCTGAATGCCTATGAATGCTACTGATCCTACTCTCTGACTCTACTAAGACCCCAGGAACAACAAAACGGGTTGTAGACCCACACCTTTAAAAAATTATACAAAAATGGCTGAACTTCTACTAATTTTGCATATTAGAATTGCCTCCCTTCAGATGAAAATACAGAAACGAAGATGCTGGAATGATCAAGAAGGAATTTTGTAACAGGAATAATTTTTAGCACTACTACAAGAAGCTTCTCACAGGGCAAGTGACAGTTCTGGAACTGCATAGGAGCAACGAAGCCTACGTGCAGATGGAGCTGTTACCGTAACACTGCTCATCTGCAGCTGACAATGAGTAGAGACAAAAGAAATTCCAGCTACAAGACTCTTCCATTTGCTGTGCTGTTTCTGACACAACACTATATATTATCATTCCTTCCTGTAAACTTCTACTGACCTTCAGCGTGCTTAAGTGAAGCTGCACTGAGGGAGTAGTTTCAGCAAGTTGCCAGACTCTCTACGGCTACTTGGGAGAGGTGCATTCAAGCAAAGGAATTAGACTTTTTTTTTTTTTTCTCCCTGGGCTGCAGCAGACAGCAGTAAATGACCACAACAGTCCCTTTTGCCTTTTAAGATCTTTTGTGTACCTTCTCACCTCCAAATCTGTAGAAATTTGGGAATGCAAGTACAGCTGCTACTCTCATCTTCAGTAAATTACTTTTTATGAAGTATATAAAAAAGGAATTATATTCTAACACTTCCATTATAATTTTCAGTATCTAGCAATGGCATTCACTCTAAGAAAGATACTCTGATTATTAGCACCAGGAATATGGCACTAACACATAGCTGCAAAGTAGAACTGTTAGCAGGTTTCTGGTGTGTTTTATTTTAATTACCCTACATCATTTCTTTTGCTTTAATTCAAGGAATAACAATAAATAAGTACAGGTTTCAGACTTCCAAATACAGAAGAAGGTATACTGTCTTACAAACAGTACACACAGGCGTGCACATGTGTATCCCAGACAGTCGCCACATGCTTTAAGCAAGAGATAGAGACTCTCACAAAGTTTTCTGAGAAACTTAGGTTGTTTATCATATCACTAAAAAAAAATAAAAATTGAAAAAAAACACATCTAATTCATAAATTCTCCAATAATTCTTATACTTAAAAGTCCTGCTAGATCTTGGTCCCCTCTGTTACAAGCTTGCTTAAGGATTCAGAGTGTTGTTGATGCACTACAGCCAAAGACTTCTGCTATGCTCTGTAACTATTCTGCAAGATAAAAGGCAACAGTACAGAGGCTGGAGAAGTTGCTGCTTTACATTAACAAATCTGAACCTTGGAAGGAAACAGAGGCTTTGAACAACTCACCATAAAGCTGTTTTCTAGCCTCAGACTAGTTCTGAACAGAATTTATTTTAGATAGTGATCTTCAACAGCCAACTGAAATGATTCGATTTTTCCAGCCGAAACAAAATAAACAGTATTTCTGACAAGGAAAGAAGGTTCCTTCTCTTGACAGCTGTGTCAATCTCAAGCACACAGTCAAAAGAAGTGCTGGATATTGTTTAAAAACATGATGTAAAGAAACACCCTGTACCTGAAAGTACCCTGAATGTACTTTCTTTCTGTCTTCTGGTCAGTTGTCATGACCTTATGATTAAAAAAAAAAAATCCTTAAAATAGTTCAAGAACACCAAAAGAAAACATCAAAGTATCTTAACATAATCACTTTTTAGCTAGGCATTGCTGCATTATTTGTAATGAAATGTTTACTACTATGTATGTCTTCCCTCTCAACAGTGCAACCAACCAGTGTTACCAGTTGCAGGATTCGTTTTAGGAGCCATTCCAGACCTCCTTCAAGGTATGAAAGTATGGCTCAGCAATCACATACAGATTCATACTTACCACAGACTGGAAAGCAAATTAAGATATTTCAAGGATAAATATTGGTCATGTTTCTTTATTTACATTCTGAAATCCCTACCTTTTTCCTTCTTTGTATAGTAATAAGATATTTTCTCTGAATATTTAGGTGGAAATGCTACTGTGCTCAAACAGAAATATTTGCCATTAACCATCAACGTTCCTTTGTGTTCTTCTGAAAGAAGTTATTTAAATGCTAATATAAATAAAATAAATGCAACTGGCAGAAAGAATGTATGAACAGTGGAAAATCAAGATTAAATATTGAAGTAAATAAACCATGTGGAAAAAGTGGAGTGTTTAGCACATTATTAAATCAGGTAAATTTGCCAGAGAAGTATCTTAAAAATTAATGTGCTTTCAACTTATCTCAAGTAATAAGGCACTTGCTTTTAAAGAGCACACAGATAACACAGCCCTTTTTTGCAGTTAAACTGATAAGCATTTCTTACAAAATTAAATATGCTATGCATGTGAATAACACATTCACCAATAAGTGGCCTTATAGTATATTTCCTTAGATCTACAAAAATAATATATTTTAAAAAACATCTGTAATCATGCATTAATTTCACCAGAATAACAATGTATATTAAGCAACCTCAGGCACGGGTAGAGACGTGTCACATGGAAGAAAACCTTCAATACATTTGACTCCTTAACATTCATATTATCACACTATTTCAATTAACTCTATGCATTTGGGTTACATTTGCATATTATAACCTCCATTATCATAATATTCAGATACAGGAGAAATAAAATAAACTAGAAAAATTACACCAAAAATATTCTTAAGGTGTACTTCAAGCAGACCTCAAGCACTACGGTAAAATGATAGTTTAGTTGCCTCATTTACATGACTATATTAGATGTTTGCCTTTTTTAATTTAAAATTACATATTT